GGGCTGCCCGCACTGACGCGGCTCAGGGATTACGTCACACGCAGCGTCATGCGCAGTGCCCTAACGCCTGTAAATGTAATCGTCCAATTAAGGTAATTAAAAAAATCAGGACATTTCCTCACTTTCTAAAAAAAAACCCGGGACGCCCGGGACAGGACGTGAAATACGGATATGTCCCGGGAAATACGGACGTTTGGTCACCCTAGGTAAACACTTTTTCACACAGAGGTTACAGTAAAGTCCTGTAACAATGGCGTCTGGGCAAACAAGCTTTAAAAAACAAAAAGCCTGAGCTGAAACATTTCTGCAAAGGAAAATCTAAATAAAATCTAAATTTTTATTCAAAAGAATAAAATTTTGGCAATATTGTTCCTAGCAGCTGCTGACCTCAAACCTGAACATTTTCAGTCCTCTGCTGATCTGAGAGACTTGTCTGCTGTTTCCTTTTTCTACGTCGTCCAATTTAATCCTGACAGCTGTGACTTTCTGGATATATTTTTGCTCCAAAGTATCAGTAAACCTTGTTTTGGTCTGAGAGCCAGCGTTATCCTTACTGATTAGCACCACCCTACTGTTGTGGCGGATTATCGTGTAGAACTCGTCCAGTTGTGAAATTTGTGAAACCTTTAAAACCAATTTTAAATCAAAGTGGAGATTAAAGTCATTGTAAAAAGGATAGAGAATACTTATCTGTTAGATGAAGTCCTTACTAAATAGGAATCTAGCCAATGTTGGTTTTTGAAAAGCGTTATTTTAATTTAACAATGTTACCATAGAAAAGTTTTATTATTAGTGGTTTGATAAGAAATCAGTTTTCTTTCTTGATCCCTCTGTGATATTTTGTACAATGAATGACCGCTGAAGAACCGAAGGCCTCACCCTCAGATGTTCTCATCAGATTCTTCACCATCAATTGCTCCTTTGTGTTTATTAGAGAGGTCTAAATGTGACATTAACCCTGCTGCGTCTGAGTACAGAGCCAGACTCTGTTTTAAATGTTGCAACAGTTTTCATCAGTGGAAATTCTCCTTGGTTCCATTATTACTTTGGTCAAGATCTGTAGCAGCACAGTTATTTTGGACCTCCCATCCAGAGAGCTTTCTCAATTCTAAATGTCTGGCGTAGCATTGAGTTCCAGGCTATATAGAGACGCCCAAACAAAAGCCTTGTTAGGACTTAAAAAACATGCAAATGGAACTGGAAAAGAGGCCCATGGACTTTGGACTTTGGATTACCAGGTTAAAGTTCTCTCTACACTGAGAGACACGACACGTATGACTCTTTGATAAGAGATCCAACCAACGCCCTACAAAAAGAAAATCACGGACCACCTCAAACACCTAGAAAAAGACAAGGTATTTAAGCGTTCGTCTTAGAGAAACCAAACAACCTCTCCATAGAAGCATGGCTCAATACAGGCCAGCTAACTCCACCGGACACGACTCTGCTGTCCACCTACACCTTAAGGACAAAGGACACCTGTTTGAGGACCAGAACGTTCACATTTTGGACAAGAAGACAGGTAGTTTGAAGGGGTGTGAAGGAAGCCATTTATGTTAAGGGAGAAAAACCAACCTTAAACAGAGGGGGATTTCATCTCAGTCCTCATCGCCATGCAGGGGATCAAAACATCTCGCCTGTTTAGCCAGGCCCACAAAGGTCCTCACCACTCCCTTTTTCAGACGCATGGGCCAGTAACAGGTTTTGCAGGCCAACAACAACCTGAACGACTCCTCATTACTAAGGGGTGGACCTACTTTTCTGTTTAATTTGTATGTTTTCGAAGCCGTATCAAAGTTTTGTTTAGGCTGTTCTATAAGCCTGGAACGCAGCGCTACTCCAGACATTTTGAATTGAAAAAGATTCCTGGATGCGAAACATCTTCAAACTTGGAAAACAAAGTCCAGTGGGTTGTTGTTTTTAACTTTTTTGGAATTACTTAACCATTTCATTTTAGAGGATTTTTCACACACAGTTCTTTAACTTATAATTGAATGAATTCAAAGGATTGAACTGTTACCTTTGGAGGATAAAAGCCATCTGTAGTGCAGTAGAAACCTCCAGGCTAGTGGCTGTAACCGTCCCTTCATCGACTGACCTGATTCTTATACCTGTCCAGGTAAAAGCTAGCAGAGCAGAGAGCGACGGCGGGTCACCTGGAGGATCCACACTGCAGCTGCAGGCCGGACGCAAGATCAGCACCAGCTTGCAGCATTTCCATCGACCAGGTCACAGCACAAACACACACAGAACAGATGTGGCCATACTTGGATCCAGTCTGGTTCAGGTTATTTGGTAAAAGATTTCTAACACCTCACTAATCATTGCAACAAAACTATAGTAAAACCTCATTAAATCCCCTTATTAAGGAAAATAACCTGATAAAACATATATGACATATAGTTGACTCCAGCAACCAAGTTGAAAAGCAGTGAATGGTTGAGTTTTTCCAGATGCTTTAGGTTAATTCAAACTCAGATATATTCCATTTATTTCACTTTATCTATAAAGTGCCAATTTACAGCACATGTCATCTCAAGGCAATTTACAGAGACAATTTAACCAGATCATGCAGTCAGACTAGTTTTAAGTTTTCTATCTAAGGACCGACTCATTGACTCTGCAGAAATTCCTCACAACAAGCATGATTGTAGTGACAGTGGAGAGGAAAACTCCCTTTTAACAGAAATAAAACCTCCAGCAGAACCAGGCTCAGTGTGAGCGGCCATCTGCTGAGGCTGACTGGGGTTCAAGGAGACAGAAGCAGAGACACAAAAAGTACCTGTTTATGATGAAAAAAAAGCACAGAGGTCATAATGTTACAAATTTAACAAAAGAAATATTGCAGAAAGGTAAAATAGAGATAGAATGA